GATAATTGAGGACAAAAATGTAATATGTACAACATTCCGATTTTAGCTATTGCATTTAACAAACCTTAATGAATTCAGCGCTTAAAAATAAGACAATATCAATTAGGTTTTCAAATTAATACATTCAGCACTTAAAAATTCAGTGCTTAAAAATAAAATAATATCAAATAGGTTTTCAAATTAATACATTCAACACTTAAAAAAAAAAAAAATTCGATAATTAAAAAAAAAAAAAATTCAACACTTAATAATTTAACGCTTAAAATTCAGTACTTACAATTTTCAGTACTTAATTTTCAGTTTTATCAAACATCTTTGTCACAAGCTCTCTGCGCATATCTTATACGCTTTGTATTTAAAAAATATTGGCATCTAATACAGGTTACAGATATGATCAATACAGATGCATTATTGTTGTGGAAGTATTCGTACTGTACTTCTTAAGTATTCTTGTAAAATTAATATACAGTTTTACTCAATGATGGGTGGCTGGTCACAGTAAACACGAAAATAGCAGGCACATACATACATATATATATATATATATATATATATAATCCAATTAAATATATGTGTGTGGAGAGGGACAAGCATTGATAACGTTGAAGCTTAGCATGATCCGGCTATTATTATCGAGCCACGTCTCTGGTGTCCTCTCCACCTGATGACATTCTCATTTAGTGGAGCTAGATCATTTAGAAAGTGAAGAGTCCAAACATCATCATTATATAGGGTAATTTTAAATTGCAATCAACTAGTGCTGTCTGTATTAACAAAAGAATCATAATAAATAATACACACGTGAAATACTTAAAAAAGAAAGAAAAAAAAAGAGAAGTAAATTAAGGGTGTTTATGGTTTACAGACAGGATTTGAGGGTGTGGACAATTTTAGGATAGGACACGTAATCCAAGAACTTGTTGATTGCAATTTAAAATTAACCCTATAAATGATGTTGTTTGGAATGTTCACTTTCTAAATGCACGATTTGGGAAATTAAATATACAATGAAACCGTGGGCTATACCAGGCAAATGGTTTTTTAAAACTTTGACTATAAATGAAAGTCGGCAAAAGTGTAAAAATCCATGTAGTATTATAAAAGTGAAAAATAATTCTCCCAACTATTTTGAGTTGTAAATTAACCTTTTATTTATATAAACCCTCGATCACATTTTTCGGCGACTAATGAGTTAAAATTACAAACATATTCCAACTTATTAATTTACATAAAAATTATAAAATATTATAAATGTAGAATACTCATAATACTCTTTAGGACCATCTTGCAACTAATCAATAATTTAGAATTTTATATATATATAATTTTGACTAATAATAATAAACAATATCAATAATAATAATAATAGCAAAATAACAAAAATATATTGCTTAGTGTAAGACATGTGAATCACTTTTAGATACCTTGTGAATTAACAATAAGAATAACAATAATAACAATAAGAATAATAATAACTAATAATAATAATAAATTGTATAGTTCAGGTTTGATTTGCAACCCAAAATAGTTCAGGGGGTTATTTCTTACTTTCTTAATAGTTCTGGGATTCTTTACACTTTTGTTGGGGGTATAATAGTTATTCAAAAGGGTAATTTGGGCATTACTTAAAAATGTACCATGAACCAACGTACGCCGGAAAATGTGGTCCGTTGTTTGGGAGGATCCATTTTTTGCAACGTTTTGTATAGATGAGGGGTTGATTTGCAACCCGAGATAGTCCATTAGTTATTTTTCACTTTTGTGATAATATAGGGGTTTTTTTTGTAATTTTACCATGAAAATTTGAGTGAAAATAAAAACATCAACAGAAATCAACAAAGAAATCTTTTTATACCATCGAATAAAAAACAATCTTTTGAATTAAAGGAGAGAAATCAAGGATACAAAGAAAAAGAACCTACAAGCCAATGAGATGTTCAATCATTTGATAGCCAGAGTCATTCTTTGATATTGATAAATAATCACTATGAGTCAGACTCAATAGAATTTGATCAATCCTTTTTTCTTTTTCTTTTTTTTTGTCATTGAGGCAGAGAATTGAACCAATAATTATCTTTCTTCATCATCAATTGAATCATTGTTCATGACCCAGCATTCTATTTTATCATCAATTCAATTCCCGCTTTTTTTTTTTTTTTTTTTTTTTTTTTTTTTTTTTTTTTTTTTAATGAATAGATCTCTTTACTTGTTGTGCTCGTTTGCATGGAATTGGAATTTATGAAATTGAAGAAAATTTTGATTTAAATTTTGATTTTGATTTTGATTTTTTATTTGTTCTTATGATGATTCTACAAATTTTTATTCCAAATCTCTAATTCCATACAAATGAATACAACCTAAATATATAAAATCATTATGCCTTCATGCATTATTTTGCTACCATATAAATGATATGGAAATCTTAAAAAATATAAGATACTAGTATAATATGAATACATTAAAAAATTATAATATAATATATATATTATTTTATCATTTTATCCATATTATTATTTGGAGCATAAAACTAGATATTTGTTATTTTTGTTTTCTTAAATTTTATATTATTCTTCAAATGAATCCTATAATATATTTTAAATTACATTGAGTTTTATTCTTCCAAAAAATTAATTATAAAACCACCCACCATATCCTAAAAGTGTCCAAAAAGTTTTCTTGTAGTGTCCAACTCAAGGGCGGATTTAGTGGTGAGCAAAAAATTATATATATATATATATTTTAATTATAACCAATTTTAGCCTAGCAAACCCACCCCCCCCTATATATATATATATATATATATATATATATATTTTAATTATAACCAATTTTAGCCTAGCAACCCCACCTAAAGAAATATTAGTCCACCCATTGACAATTCTTGAATCCGCCCTTGACCTAACTAAAAAATAAAATAATTAATTTTCAAAATAATTCTAATCGATATCGACACGACTTTGTGTTTCCTAGGACAAACCCTATCTAATATATACCCAACATGTTGATGATGGATAAATTGTCTATATATGAATTTACGTGAAAAAAATAATAAATAATAATTTAATGTCTACCCGTAATATTTCATAAAATTTAAAAAAAAAAAATCAATTCTGGTTAGCTATTTTTTTTTTTTTCTTCGGAAGTTAAAGTCTGGTTAGCTAATTAACAATATTCTTTTTTCTTAGATTACTTCCAATCAAATTAATGGGGTGCATGTCTCAAATTTATCCCATTGTACCAATGATTATCAGTCAAGATGGAATAATTTTTCCTCTTAAAACGGAAAGCTGAATGTTTGACATAAAAAAAAATTGAATATTCTAGTCCTGTTAGGATTAATATTATGGGCATGTATGTTTTTCGCTTCAACTTTTGAAAAGAAAAAAATATATAGTAAAGGAACACATATAATTGCAATAAAACATGTATGTAAATATTGCCTTTCAAAAAAACATATATTTGTATAGGTCAAGTGTAGAAAATATTTCTAAAGTATGTTTGCAGTGTATATCATACTCGTACAAAAAACACCTCTAAAGTTTTAATTTGGTGTAAATAAGTCTATCTGAGAAATTTTAACCATAAGTTGACTAAATTACCCTTATTGAACAATTTTATAAAATATATAAAAATAAATAATTTTGAAAAATGACCGAAAATAATACTATTGGAGGATGCCCTCATGTGCAAAAAATACCCCTAAAGTTTCAATTTAGTGCAAATAGATTCCACGACAAATTTAAACCCTAAGTTGACTGAATTGCCCTTACTGAACCATGTCATAAAATATATCCATCACATATTGAAGGACGCAGACAATGGACAAGTAAAGATAAAAATAAAAAAATAAAAGTATAAAAGAAAAGTAAAGATAAAAATAGAAAAAAAAAAAAAAAACGAAAATAAAATGCAAACTAGAGATAACAAATCTGTTCCAAACTCCGAAAATCAGTGCATACTGATATTGAGATTTTTTTTCCCTTTTTTAATTTTTTTTTTTTCTTGTTTAACGTTGGTATGAAAAAAAAATAATAAGTAAAGATTTTTTTTTTTTTTTTTTTTTTTTGTAGACAACAGTAAACTGAAATCTCAAAAAATTTAAATATTTATTCTACAAATTCTCAAAGTTTCAAAAAAAAAAAAAGTTTAGACAAATATATATATATATATATATATATATATATATATATATAAGGTAATGCGCACATAACATTCCTATATTATGAAATTAGTACGATATATACTTCATTGGACATTTTTGGAAGAGTAAAAGCGTAAAACGAGTATTACAACATTAATTTATGTCAAATTTTTTATTGGGGATATTTTTACATAATATGAAAAAATTAAGAATGTATTTTTACACACTTTTTTAAATAGGAGGTAAAGGATTATGCTAAATATATTTTAAAGGTATTTTTTTAATGCATATTACTATATGTAAATACTGCAAAGAGAAAATATTTATCAGAGTATAGACAGTAATAGCTAATGAGTAATTACTTTTCGATGGGTTAAGAATAAATAAAAGCCTTTCTAAAAGTCATCACAATACTTTTATAACCGTGCATCCTAGGACTCGATGGTTGTGGTGTGAAACCACTAAGTCAGCTACTGAATAAAATCAAACAATGAAATTTTGACACGAATATTCACTGGTCCAATAGCACTTTTATGGATCAGTAGGGCCCAGAATCTCGTGCCACCTCCGATCAAACCGCGTCCTAATCACGGAATTAACACGACCCACCATGTCTTTGTTTCAAATGCAAACCACCTTTTTTTTTTTTTTTTTCAAGTTTTTGAGTCACATTTGTTCACGAAACCAGCAAATGTGATGTTGAAATTGGTTGGAAGCTCCCTTGATCTTATAAAATGTGTCCACGTTTGCAATCATCACACTTGAATGACTTTAACATATCCACATCTATATATACACGGCTGGATCACATTTTCTCTTTGTCTAATACTTCAATACATTGCATCAACAACTTAGCATCATGGAAGAGCCAAGTAGCAACCAAGGTGGATATAGCATGGCCTCGCCCTTTCGGGGAGTCCGGAAGCAGAAATGGGTGTCTGAGATTCATGAGCCAGGGAAGAAAACTCGAATTTGGTTAGGAAATTTTGAGACGGCAGAAATGGCGGCCGCGGCGTACGACGTGGCAGCATTGCATCTTAGAGGTCCCATAGCGCGACTGAATTTTCCCCAACTTAGGGACAGTCTTCCTCGACCTACAAGCTCGAGAGCTGAGGATATACGTCTGGCGGCCCAAGAGGCCGCTTCGTGTCTCAAGAAGCCCACAGGAGAGCCCAAGACAGGTAGCTCCAGCTCTAATCCGGGTCCAGTAAGAATAGAACTCTCTCCGAGTCAAATTCAAGCCATTAATGACTCACCTCTCGACTCACCCAAAATATGGATGAAGTTGACTAATGCCCTTGTGGTAGAAGAACATATCATATTTTCTAATGATATTGAGATGAGTGATAGAGAAGAAATACCTGATGATTCCCTATGAAATTCCTAGGTAATTCAATACAAGAGGCTATAGTAATGACCTACCAAACTTATTTAATTATATGGAGTTGCTTTTTCTAACCATACTATATTTCATGCTTGGTCATTTGATTTTTTAAACCCTGATGTATTGGGAGGAAAATAGATGACTTTCAAAGAATTACCTTTTGTAGGACACTTTTATATATAATTCAGTGCTGCAAGAAATTGAAGAAAGGATTAGAAAATGAATTGAGTTGGAACAGTGGGTGAGAGTTAGCATGTTCTTCAAATGGGTCCCTTTTAACATCAAATGACTTTTATATGGAGGGTCCCATAATCAGATGAAATTTTTTTTGACAACTCATTTGAAAAAGATTTTAGTGAGTGAATTTTTTAGTGAAAGGGTTAAAATTTCAACTCTCAGATATGCTACAGCTTTTATAGTCACGAGTGGTGTGATGTAATTTATACTGTTCCTTTTTCTTTTTCTTTTTCTTTTTCTTTTTTCTTTTTGGGTTTGTTTGTTTCCTACTTTATATGTATAAGAATGGAATTGTTGTTATAATAAAGTGGCTTTTGATTTTTTAGTGTACTCTTTATCAATATATTGTATATTATATATGTATCTAGTGTGAGACTTCTCTTTAATCAAAAGTGAAGTTGTACCAAGAAGTTCTGTGTTTGGTTGAAGTTTTAAGTGTGAGGAATATTAACTCTCTTCAATTCATTTTTGTATTATGGTCTGTCATATTTTCAGTTTGCTCTCCTGAGTCCCTATTAATTCTCTGAAGTTGTCTAAAGTTCTTTTAATTTTCTGGTCGTATGTATTCAAATAAAATAAAAAGAAATATGTCAAGCACAGAGAAAGGAATATTCAATTCATAAGTTAAGAATCAAATTAGAACTAATCTTTAACTTAACAATGAAACCATTACATAGTCCCTGACAACGACGTCAAAAATTAATGTGTCAATAATAAAAGATTACTCGTAGTAGAATGAATCCTTGTAACATATGACTATGTCGAGGGTGTCGAACCTTAAGGATTGTCGTAGATTGTTAAGTATGAGAATAATTCCAATCTAATTCAAGAGAAAAGATTGCTTAATTTGTTATTTTTCTATTTCTAATTGCAAAGGAATTAAAGATGATTGAAAATAACCTAAGTTAATTAAGAGATGTAGATATCAAGGAAGAAATGCTAGGGAATTGATTTCACCACTAACCTCATAATAATGGCCAATTATTCAATTTGGGGAAATTGACTTTATGTATAACTATAAAACATGTGGCTACAAGCACACAATGATAATGACAAGAAGATATGTATATAATCAACTATAAATCATTTTTAGTTAGCACAAATTGCCTACCTAACTACTCTAAATTAGGGTGTAGCACAACTTATCTTCCTTTAGCATGAATTATCAAAACACTTATTTATATATTTAATGAAAACCATTGCATGATCATTACTTTCATAATCACATAAATTAAGAGTAATTTGATTTCAATTAAAACAAAACCAGTTCTAAGATAAGATAACGAATTTCATTAAAACTGATTACAAATATTAAATCCCGATTGTTTAGCACAACTAAGTTAATTATCTAGCTAAACCATGCAATTAATATACATAATTAGAAAATTTCCCAAAGTTAAAATACAATTAAACCATGTTACTTGGCTAGGGTTACATAAATTCCCTAGGAACTAATGGAGAAGATAGAAAGCTTCATCATTGAGGAGTTCGCCATCTCTATTACGATCGATGCTAACCATAGTAGAAGGTTGTATTAACTGGGCCAGGCTTGTAAGATGTTTGGTATTCTTTTTGGAGTGGTTAATTAAGATTAGGGGAGGCAAAATTTGACATGACCCGCCAACACAACTCAAATACGACATGAGTTAAGCGAGGTTAGGTCGTAAACAGGTCGACACGATTAATCCGTTTAGTTAATCGTATCGTGTTTGGATTGAGGGGTTCAACTCGTGTAACCCACTTATTCCCATTTAACTATACGTGTCATAAACAAATTTATATTTAAGTTCCAAAATAACTATTTTAACTTGTATCTTATAATTTATTCTTTTGTATATTAGAGATTATTTAGTAATTTGGTAGGATTGAGACTTATATTTTTCTATTATTTATTGTTTGATTTAGTATTATTAATAATTTAAATAATATAATGTTTTGTTTTATTAAATAGGTCATTAAACGGGTTATACGTGTAGCCCGTTTAATAAATAGGCTAGTCGGGTTAGTATTGAGGGATATTGATACGATTATTAAATAGATCTTATTTATGCTGAAATATTTAGTAAAATACCCTTAAGTCTACATGACACGATTACGAATCGCGATCACGAATTGCCACCCTTAATTAAGATTGATCCTAGAGCAGCTAGGATAAATCATAATTTCATGAATTTTAGCTTCTCATCATCCTTAAGCCTTGAATCATCCCCGAACACGGTAGTGCCTTTCCCGATCTTTGGAAACATCATTAAAAGCCCGAAATAGGTAGAATTAGCCAGTTTTAAAGACAGGTACCTGAAAATAACCGAAACCAAATAAGTGACATAAGTACTAGTATATAAATATCTCTAAGGTGTTAACGTATATGTTGTTGGGAAACGTGTAAATTTTAAAAACTTTCTGAGAGATTTTTATATATAGATCTTGATTCATTACATAGAGACAAGTTTAATGCAAAAATAAAATATGATATATCATTCAATTAATAGATTAAATACTTACATCAAGGTTTGAGTAAACCTTAGATCCTCTAAAGTGAATGTTTTCACTTATTGTAGATTCCTTTTGCTAGATGCCTTCTCTTTGGATCTCCATCTTCTTGGTAATGGTCTTGCCTTTAGGAATAACTTATAAGCCTCTATGAGTGACCTTGAAAAACTAAACTTGTGGGAGCCTTCATTAAATGAGAACACTAACCCTAAAATTCTAGAGAGAAAAAAAATATATTCATTTTTCTTCCAAAAGTCACCTATAAAATATACATGGACCATGTATATATAGACAACATAAAGATAAGGAAAAGAAATAATAAATCCTTCTCAATCTCTAATTCATATATCTCAAATCTAATATGATTCCAATATCAAGTTAAGCTATGAGTGAGAATCTTTTGGGCTTATTATTTTCCTGGTTACAATGAATTAATAATTGGTCCGATCCATGGACCCAATTCAATTAATTTATAAATTAATTTCTACTCCACTAAAAGAAATTAATTGAACTCCAATTAAATAATAAATAACCTCTAAGTCAATGTTGCACTTTAACCCCTCTATGCATAATTAGTTATCGGATAAATAAAGCCATCAATCCGATTACTTAATTAATATATTTATTTTGGTACCTTTAATTATTTTCAGCTTGATCACAATAAAATATTTGTTTGACAAAAATAATAATTTAAATAAATTAATATATAATAAATTATTTTATTTAAAAACACACGAAGGCCTTCGAATTTACTTTGTGATCAACCATAATCAATACAAAATAAATACAAGTAGCAATGATGCAAATATTGAAAATATAACCCTCTAACTGTCAATTACATAATTACCCAAAGTGCCGGTTTAAGGATTCCGAAAATTCCGCCGAACAAATCAAAGTAATTACTAATTAATAAAAGAGTCTATACTTCTCTCATACTTAAAAGTTAAATGCCATGACGGTGATAGGGAGTAATTGCATACGACAGCTTTCGCAATATATCTCAACTTAACGTGGATCAAGTTCAAGTCTTAATTAATAATGAGTCCATTCATAATTACCGACTATGAACTATTTATGATTACTATTTATATTCATGTATTGATTGCCATCACATACATATATAAATATCTCTTGTAATCAAATGGACACTATCAATTCCATAATGAATCAAAACATAATACATTGAATTCACCAATTGTCTAAAACATAAATATTTCAGATATCTTAAGAACATATGTCACTTTAATCCAATTAAGAATTCGCTATGACAGGGCATATAAATGCTAACATATGTAACCCTAAGGGCTTGAATGTGCAACATTCAACACTCATCAATTCCACTTTTTAGGGTCAAAAGTTCTTATTTGCTCAGTTTTCATACTATAAGGATGTGATTTGAACATAAAAAAATATTATTTGCACAATATTCAAACTATAAAGATTTTTTTACACTTCACCCCATACAAATGGGATGCATTTACTTATAATGGACCTCTATGCTGTGTACGTAATATCAGTGCGCGTTCGAATTTTTTAGTTACTTTACTAGCTGTTCATTTGTGTTTTTACCATAAAAATTTAAATATATATACATACATACATACATATATATATATATATATATATATATGTGTGTAAAAATTTGGTTTTACTGATCTCGTTGGCCTATTATCGGTGTCAATGCTCCCTAACATCCCTATTACTACTGTTTGTTTTCACATTGGACTTGAATAACATTTAAAGTCATGCGCAGAGACGCAGTGCTTAGCATGTGATCGATGTTCTCCAATCCTATGAGTTGGACTTATTAGTTTGCTTTTGAAGTTTCACCTAACACGTCATATATGGCATCTACAATTTTCGGAGAAAGTTAATTTGCTTTTGAAGTTTCACCTAACAGATCACACTTGACATCTTCCATTCTCGCAGAAGATATTCAATGAGTTGGGAATGTACAATATTGTTATGTTCAGCTCTGTTGGATCACAAAATTCATCGACGTCTACACAAACCTAAAGCTAGTAATTAAGGTAGAGATAATTGATGGAGATGCCGGAGGTGATGGAGATGCAGAAGGAGCTTTTTGATTCCATAATTATAAAAATGGTCCACAACAATTACAACATATATAGATGCTCTCCACGATTTTGGGTATTCCGAGCCACGGATCCCCATCATGCACAGGTCCCTGATCATCTTTGTAAACAAAATGAAGACTTATATACCCCTGTCACCGTATCAATTGGGCTCTTCACAGATAGTTGAAC